AACGGCCTAGAGTAAAGGAAGTGGAATTTGAACAGTGTTGAATATTGGTTTTGGTAGCTGGTTGTCTGCCACTTTAATGTCCTGGAGTATTTAGCTGTTCAGTGACATGTCAATGAGGTGTTAGGGTTGTGCCCCTGGGTGGATTCCGGATACCTTGGACGTATTAGATGTTACAACTCTAAATGGAGCATTTGGCCAATAGCTGGGTGATATAGGCTCCAGAGTCACCCACGGCTGAAACCCATACATTATTTTGTTTGAAATGTGGGACTTCCGCAAGAGGATCACACCAAGAATTGCTTTAGTTCTCCACTTTACTTTGCGTTGACAAGATTGAAATATCTGATCATTATTTAAGATAATTCCTTAAAACCCAGTCCAACAATGTTAGGTGTTTTCCCGTACTGTGTTTGGCTAATTGTGTGACACTGAAAAGTCATTTTTCTCTCTGAGGTTTATGTTCACCATAAAAAGGTGAAAAAGTTTTAACCATGTGATTTCTATGGTCCTTCCAACTCTGACACCCATGACTATCTGAAATCGAGGGAATTTAAATATTCAAATGTCCATGTTCTTTGGCTCAGTAATTCAATTTCTAGAAATTTTACCTTACACAACTATGAAGAAATGCACACACACACACACACACACATTCACTGTAGCATAAAACAAAAGGGTAGAGGCTGGGGCTGAAAGAATCGGTGTCCATCTCCTGAACCTCTCCTGTCTTGTTAATTTGCTTCAGTTTCCACTGGTTGATCTATTGCTGCGGCTGGTGCCCACCCTTATGGCTAGGTGGATCACAAAACACTTGTACAGGATAGGAACTTTGGGCTGCATGGTCATCTGACGTCCCACAGTTGGACTTTCAGGATCTCCCAAGGACTGATACAGGAGCTGTTTCTCAAAAGGAGAGAAGTTATCTACAGAGGAGGTTTCCACAGCCATTCTCCAAGATGCACCAACTTCTGCACAGTTCAAACAGGTGAGTTAAGTCCTAACCCCTGGTACCTGGGAATGTAACCTTATTTGGAAATAAGGGCCTTTCTTTGTAGATGCAATCAAGTTAAGATGAGGTCATATTGGAGTAGGGTGGGTCCTAAATCCAATATGAATGTTGCCTTTACAAGAAGAAGACAAAGGATACAGACACAGAGGGAAGCTGGTGTGAAGAGGGGGCAGAGGTTAGAGTAATGCTGCCACAAGCTGAAGAACACCTGGGGCCCCCAGACACTAGAAGAGGCAAGGAAGGATCCTCCCACACCTTGATTTCGGACCTCCAGCCTCCAGAACTGTAAACAAATTTCTCTCATTTTAAGCCACCCACCTTGTGGTTTTGGTTATGGCAGAAACTAATACACTGCATTTCAGCAATGAATTACAAGTGGGGAGAGCATCTCAGGAGGGCCTATGTTCCCGTGGCTCTTTGTGCAGGCCAGTGCACTTGACACCATTTCCAGGGACAAGTCCCCCAGATGGCATATGCCTGTATCTAACACCTCTATAATGTATGGTTTACAAAGCATTTTTACATATATGTTGTGATTGCTGTAACAAACAAGTCAAATAGTATCAATACAGTTTTTTTAAATAGACCATTTTTTAGAGCACTTTGGGGTGCACAGCAAAACTGAGTGGAAAATAAAGTGGTAAAGATACCTCAAGACAAATGCTGGGCATAAAACTCACAGGGCATAAATCTGCAAAGAAGTAAAAAGCTAACCTTTTCAAACAATATTGCTTCTCTCTAAC